GCTCGACAAAATCCGCAACGAGTACGTGCGAGGAAGCTTGGGCGTGCGCGACATCGCTGACAAGATGCAGGAAAGTAGGCTGCGATGGTATGGGCACGTGAAGAGGAGGCCACCCGACTACGTAGGGAACTTGGCACTACAACTTTCCATCCCAGGTCGAAGATCCAGGGGCAGACCCAAAACACGATGGAAAGATGTAGTGGTAAAGGACATGAGAGAGTGCGAAGTCTCCGAAAATGAAGTCGAGGATAGAGCGAAGTGGAGGCGTAAGACAAGAAAGGCTGACCCCACCACCATGTGGGACACATAGCCAGGAAGAGAGAGAGAGAGAGAGATAAAGGTTTACGTGTCTTATTTCGCTTTACTAATTGTATTAGCTCAGCTTTCAATAATTTCATGTCCGCTTCTACTCCTTCGTGTTGCAGCCATGCTACTAAATTTGCTTTCTTATTTGCTTGGGTTGAGGTTTTGTTGATTTATACAGAATGGGCATTGTCCATTGTTATGGTGCTATTCCCAGGAATTTTTGTAAAAGGGGTATAAACCACCCTGCATTTTTCTGCATCCATTTTCTCATTCTCTTGTACTCTTTGATTAGAAGGTTAATAAACATTTTTTTTACAAATTCTCCTCCGGCGGATCCCGCACGGCAAATTATGAGGCGCCTACTTTTTCCAACGGGCACCTTCAAGCAAGATGTTGCAGTGTCATCTGTCTATATTTGCGCCAAAGTGTGGTTGGCGTTTAACAACGTTTCATCAAGGAATATGACGTTGTCAGAATCGGTTATATTTTTCATTTCTCTTAAAAATGTTATTTTTTGAAAGACTATGTCATGCCTCTCCATAATTATTTTGCGTTTGTCAATTTTTTGTACAGTAAGTAAGCCTACGCGTTTTAAAATGGTTCTCAGTAACACTACTGTTGTACAAACCAGCATCTACTAAACTTACTTGCATCTTCGCCGCAGTAGGGTAATCGCCCCCTGTGAAATAGCCGTATGCATGTTTTCTAATTGCGTCTGCGTCGAATTGATCGATACTTGTTAGCTTGTTACTGGTTTATTCTTTTTTTTTGTTGTGTTTTTTGCGTGTGAAGTAAATTATTATTACTGCCTGAAGGCCCGTACTTTTCAGTGCCAATCTTTGCAACGGTGCATTTACCAATTCCTAGTGCTTCACTGACACGATCCAGCACTTGTGTCACTGGTAAAAGGGCCCACCGTTTTGTGACTCACGTTCAAAATATTCCTGTAATTTCAGCACCAATGCACGAGTATGATTGTTTAAAGTACGACTATCAGACTACAACTACTCCTCTTTTCGATATTATGATCACATGTTTAATCAGAGTTAAGTATATAACTAGCCAAGGTCATCGAATATAGAAGAAACAGTCCAAAAAGTAAAAGTTGAGTCACAAAATAAGAAGACAAACATGAAATCAAAAAATTACACACAGTAAGCTCCCGAAATAGCGGGATTAAAATTAAGTAGTGGTTTTCTCAGCGCGGCCTCGGATTTAAGATTTTTTGCCAACACAAATGCACGTTGATTAAGTAAAAAATAAACTTGTTCTATTCATGATTCATGCAATTTTAGGAATTTTTAAAAATAAAAATTTTATTGGAAAAATTATACATAAAAAAATTTATGATTCGATTATTTTAATACTTTTATCGATTGTTTGAATACTTTTGTCGATTATTCGCATAAGAATGAATTTTAATCATCCAAACACTACGCTCAGATACATAGCGACATATCATTGAAACGACGTCTAGTAAAAAAGTTGATATTGATTATTTTTCTTAAATTTTGCTTTGTTTAAAAGATTCGAATTTAAATTAGTGATAAAAAAACTATACACGTTGTAATGAAATATAGATAACTTCATAATTCTTCGGATTTACGTAAAAGGTTATTTTAAATCGTGTGAGTACGCTTATGCAAAGTTATTGCGGAATGATTAATGTGAAACGTCAAAAGGTATTTCTTAGATTTGGTTGACTATAGTAATTATACTATTAAAACGTGTCCTTCACACCGGAACACATCAGTGCAAACACTGATTTTTGGTAGAAATAGGTAACAGGGTACTTACCAAGATAAACTCTTGGGCAGAAAAGGAGTACTACTACCTAGTTAAAACTTAGTTACCTTACAGAGACTGTGCAAATACGTCACACTTGTGTTAGAAACTTTACAACACAAGCATTTTATGCTTACCTGGAGTTGTTAATGTGAACGTTCATAATGTTAATAGTATTTAAATTTTCCTAATGTTAATAAAATTTGCATAATGTTAATTCAATTTGCATTAAAAACGTACAAAATGTACTGCATTTCAATGAAAATATAGCTATATTTTATTACGGATATATTATCGATCTTAGCTCAGGTTACAGTCAGGTTATTACATGAAATAGTTGGAGTGTAAGGGTATAAATAAATAATGAGAACCTTTTCTCTTTCTTTTATACTTTTGTTAAATTTAATATTGCATAATGAACCCTGCCGATTAACAAACAAGGCTCTGACGACCAATACATACCGAAAAATCCGTCCACAAATGCTGAATCTCAATACCACATATTTGTGATGGAGAGCAGTTTGGTGATAGTGTATAATGTGAAGGCTTTAAGAAAAAGGAAATTATCTCTGCGATCACCAAAGCCCAGCGTGGTGAGTATGGATAAACAATCTCTTAAAAAGTGCACGCCTATTACAGTAATATTGAAAACGCCTATGTATAATGTGATTTCATAAATGGCATTTAAAGAGAAATGAAATGTACAGGACAGTTAGTTCAGGAGTAAACTAGTAATGGCGGTTTCGTTTAATGAATGAGAATAGGAATTAGATTACGCATGATAATCTGTTCTCCAAACCCTTTAGAGACCCATTTTACTGGAAAGGAGGCATTCCGTCTTAGTTCTCATGGGTGACAACGCATTTTTATTTTGATTCGTAATCGAGGATAGATGTACATGTCTATGGGCCATAGCAACCACTTACCATCATTTGAAAAGTGTGCTTGTTTGTCACCTTTCTCCTATAAAAAAAACCTTAAAAATAATAGTTTTTAATATTCAACGACAGTCTTCCACTGATATTTGCTTTTTAAATATTGATATAAATAGAAACTTTTTTTATTCAATATGGATTGTCCACCACTGTACGTTTCACTAGGATTTGTTTCCACGTACGACCCCTCTGTGGAATAGTTTACCACCGGCGATTTTTTCCGGACCAATACTACCTGGGGACCTTCAAGAAAAGAGTTTACTCCTTTCTAAAGGGCCGATAACGCACCTGCAATTCCTCTGGCGTTGCAGTTGTTCATGGGCGGTAGTAGTCACTTAACATCAAGTGAACCGTATGCTCGTTTGCCCCACCCTCTATAAAAATAGTATTATAAAATTATTTAGAATTTCATGTAATTTTAAACCTTTTTTTACGTGGTAGAGCCATACTGCAGCTATATTAGTAGTATAGTTTAAGCACGAATAGGTCGGCTCGAACGGAGAAGGACCACACTCTCACATAATACCAGCGTAAAACAGCAGCTCAACGCTGCTGTTTTGTATGGTGAGTGTAGAGAACTGGAGACCCTTTTTACTTGAAAGGAGGCACAAAATTTCGTCAATATTGGTGGAATACCATTGGGACTGGAAACCGGCGAATGCAATTTTGGTAGCGTAAGAGTTCGTCTCAGCTACAATGTGGCCTAAAATGTCATCATACAAAAAGCAACGAAAAGTATCATATGCCGAATTGTAAAACTGAACCGAACCAGATCTCTCAGGTACAAAATTCTCCTCCTGGTCTTGAAAGGAGTCCATAGGAGACCATTCAAACAGGAGGTTCTGGCCTTCCAGCCAAGTAAGACCATCCGTTCCATCACTGGCGATAAAATAATTATCCGCATCTTCGCTCTCGCTAGCATCCTTTTTTCCATTCTTTCCCCCCTGACTATTCCTTTCGGCTCTAGCAGCATCTCCTATTCTCATCTCCCGTCTCTTCATAACATCCCTCGCCAAATTTACCAATTCCCCCTGAATTGGTCAGTTTGGCAACGTCGTCATCAGTCAAATAAATTTGACACAGTGGATGTCCCACCTCCCACGGTTGTTCCCCCCTACGACCCCGTGTTCTTCCTCACCCAACTATACCACGAACATCCCTTCTTCCACTCTACCACCTCTCACCTGTTCCCGAGGACACAAAAATTGCATGAGCGTCCGGGGCTAAAAATACCTCGTCCATGACGTCGTTATCTTCGGCAACATTAACCAAATCATCCACGCCGCCGTCTTCATTCAAAATTTCAAAAACCACCATTGTTTCACGGCAAAAAATTACCTTTACTCCACGTCAATTTCTTCATGAATAATAAAAAATAAAAATAAATAAATAAAACTTACGATTCATATAAATGAGTATCGTCGCCTCCTCCACCCCCTCCACCCCTCCCTCGCCAAGCGCTTTTTATTGCTAACAAGGAATATTACCGTTTAGAAGCTCCAATTAAAATATTTTTATTTTTGTATGAAAATAAAAATTGAAGAAATATATTTTTTTTCTTACAGATGTTGTTGTTATGGTGTGAATAATATATTCCCCAAACGTAAATTAAAAATGACTCTGTATATATAATTAATAATAAGTGTGGTCCTTCACCGGACGAGCTGACCCATTCGTGCTACAATTTACTACTGCAACTACGTGCAACTACTTAATATAGCTGCAGAATAGCTCTACCATGTATAAAATATTCTACAACAATAATAATAAACAATTATAAAACACATAAATGTAGATACTGACCTCAATATATATATATATATATATATATATATATATATATATATATATATATATATATACATATATATAAACCCATATAGAAATATTTTACAATAATAATAAAACAAATTAATAAAACACATAAATGTGGATACTGACCTCATCATCATCTGGCTCAAACTCACTATCCTCCTAAAGATCTTCATCATCATCAGCATAAAGCAAGTGGATGAAGTTTGCGGGCGGATCATTGTTTGCTCTCCAATTTGACATCTGTAATATGTTATAGAATAAATAAATAAAAACACCACATTGTATATCACAGGGGTATTTGCATCATTATACATGCTAACAAATTATTTCTCTCCTTTTGTAATATATATCCCTTTACAACCGGAGATTTTTTTTTTCAGATTCTAACCATAAAACTTTTATGTTGCCCTCCTACTAGGTATATAGAGCTCAAAAAAATCAGTTAAAAAAAATCTCGAGGTCATAGCTTACCCACAAATCCACCCGCACGATCGTGAGTCGCAGGTCGTACACAACGTAGTCACGATCGTGAGGGTAATTTAAACTAGCCCTATGTTTTGGTACTTTAAAGAATAATTAAAAAAGCTTATACTTAATCAGCCTCTTTATTAATTATTTAGTTACTTTAATCATTCAGTCTCATACAATTTTTTTTTAGAACTAAACATTAATTCATGCCTTTGGCAACATGATACAAAATTTTCTGTAAAATATATACAAAACAAAACAAACTTTTAAAGTTGTACGCTACAATAAAAAATAATTTTAATTAATGCTTCTAAAGCAAATCAGGAACTATCAGATCATCCTCTGGTATGGTAAGACTTGAAACAGTCTTTGCCACGTGCGATACACAAATACGTGTCGCATTTTGTACAGCGTACCTTTGTGCGACTGGTACAATTTTCGTACTTGCACATTCTAGGTGCTTTTATTTCGTCAAACACTGGAAAATGTTCGTATCCATCATACCGCTTTGATTCAGACGGCTTGTTTGCTAGTCTGTACTGTCTTTTCGGAAAAGGAGATTCATTTTCATCCAGCGGCGATGGCCGGTTTCTTGCCGGCAAACTTGACAATCCATCAGCAATGTTCATGCGGAAGTCTAACAAGGGCAAAATTTCCCTCCTGCTTAATTTATTTGCCATACAATCATTACGATACAGTCGCCAAGAATTAACAATTGCCAAGTCAAGAAAGTGTATCAGTACTTTCAGTGTCCATTTCTTTGTTTTGATGAATGTCCGATAATACTCCATCTGCTGGTCCAGAACATCAACACCCCCCATGTGTTGGTTGTAATGCTCGACTACTTTTGGGACAGGTACGTCTACGTACATCTTCAAGAGTTTTTCCCATCTCTTGACGATTGAAGATGAGGACGAGCCGGTGCAGTTTGACGCCATTAGAACGGACTTATTGTCTTTCCATTTGACGACGACAGTCGGTCCGCAAACGTACTGCTGTGATTCTCCGCGAGCCATTCTAGCATCTGGTTTAAATTTAATCGCAGTACGGTCAGGGATCCTGTTGAACATGATTGTTCCCGTACTGTGAAGATTCCTCTTTGTCATCTATTCAATTAGCGGAACAGTCGTAAAATATCTGTCGTGGTAGACACAGCTTCCAGGCGGTACACTTTTCACCAGATGCAGAACCACAGAAGCTCCAATTCCAAGAGATGTATCTGCAAACATGGTTTTAGCTCCTCGATATTTGTCGAAGTCTGGCATCAAGCCTTCACTTGTGGTCAGCACAAAGTTCTTCAAACCCATCGGGTGCGGCTTATTTCGGACCACCTGGCGAAGTACACATCTGCCAGTAAATGGTACCATTTGCTCGTCAATGGAGTAGAAGCCAGGAACTCTTTCAAGTTTGTTACAGGCTAATTTTAACCGGTCAATCATCGGCTGTACTTTCCACAGTGGATTGTTACTATTACTTGGCGGAGCTTCATCAGCATCTACGATGTGCAATGCATTGCGGACAGTCAAGAACCTGTCACGAGCCATTTGTTGAGTTATTATATCCAGTTTTATTCCACCTCTCCAATACATCGGGACACGGGGGTAGGGAATACATCCAATGATGATGTGTATTGAAAAAACTCTGGCTACTTCAACTGTTGTAAGTTTCAGTTCCAGGCCCGTTTTTCTGTGATGGTACATGTTTGTACATCTGGCAATTTCATCAAAAAACTCTCTGTTGAAATAGTCGGAGAAATACTCCATTGGAGTCCTGACCGGAGTAACGGGCAAGGGAGCATAGTCGTGACTACAATCGTCGAAAGGTAAGTGCTTCCAAACTCTCTTTCGAGAAGGTGACCGTAAAGATCGAGGGCGCGGAGTTAGTTGTGATGGTCCAGGAGTATCTTGCATCGGTTCCGGCTCCGGTGCTACAGACGGCTGTGGTTCAGGCTCTGGATCATCCAACTGAAGATTTTCGAAAGTGCTGGGTTGGATTTCGTCGTCGTCGTCCTCAAAATCTTCGATGTCGGAGAAGTTTCCATCGCCCAGCAATTGTATAACTTGATCTTCGTTCAAACTTCTGCCTAAAACGTTAAAAAAAGTAACTATTAATTACAAAATCTATGTAAAAACAATCATCAAGTACAGTACCCACTCCCGAATAATGTTTCGGTAGTACAACCGGAGCCGCACGATCGTAGCGGTCGTATTTTATAACGTAATTCTAACGAAACCGTAAAGGTCAGCACAAAATCAAAATAATCTAGGTATTGGGTTATCTTTTAACTTTAAAATAATTATAAACCGCAATCAAATACTTTCAAATTACTATTAAAAATAATTACTTACCCGCGGCGCGGCGAGGATCGAAAAACGCAGCCATCTTTCATCTCAGCTCACAGGTGACCACAGAACACTATTACTCCTATCGGAACAGGTGACTGACTGCTCCCATCCCACCCGTATCTATTTTCCGCGCGTAAAATACACCTCGCGAACGATCGACGCCGGTTGCGTTCGGAAAAAGTAAACCGTTTGGTGCCAGTATTTTTTTGAATTTAAACTCACGCTCGTATCAGTCCGAGTGTAAAGGGATATATATATATATATATATAATAAATATATATATATATATATATATATATATATATATATATATATATATATATATATATATATATATGTTTAAGTATATTATGTTTTCTGTCACAGATCCCTCGTGCTCTCTGAAACAAAGATTTACCCACGGTAGCCAACTGTGAAGGATGATGGTGAGATTCACCATTTAAATATCGGTTGGTATGGGTCTTTTTTCTATACACAGTGTGGATACACAGTGTGAAAACATCTGGCCGCCAAACTTCAGCACGTCAAGCAAGTATTGCAAGACAACAAGCTTCGGGTCCCGCGCCTGCGTCACAGTGACCGAGTGAAGCCGGCCACAGTCGAGCGTGTACCTGCTGTACTACCATATGTCAGAGGAGTCACAGACAAGGTTGGCTACATCTTGAAGCGAGCTTCTATTAAAACATACTACAAGCCGCCGAAGAAGATTAGTCAATTTTTACCATCCGTCAAGTGTAATATCCCTCTACAAGATGCAGGAGTGTACAAGTTAGATTGTGAATGTGGTCTCTCTTATATAGGTCAAACAAAAAGATCCATAAAAACCCGCGTTAAAGACCATATAGCTGACGTGAAGCACCGACGCTCCGGGAAGTCTGCAGTCTGCGAACATGTTCAAGATCGTCCCCACCATTACATTCGTTTTGATAAACCAAAAATTCTCGCAAAAGAACACCGATTCCTACCAAGGATGATACGCGAGGCTATTGAAATTAAAAAACATCCAAATTTCAATAGAGAAGATGGATGGGTGCTGCCACCTGCTTGGGATCCTATAATTAACAAAATTAAACCCAAACCTAAGCATACCACTGCAAGACTTCATGATACTATAAGCTCGTTTTGCGTAAATCGGACCAAAAATTAATATTCAAAAACTGAAGGTAGCCGGACTAACTATGACATTGGGATGTCAAACATCTCAGTCCCCCCGTGACCATGGTTGCTGTAAAGCACCCGAAACGTCGGGAATTAAAAATAAGTAAAAGTAGTGAAATAAACGCGATAAAATCCGTAAATTTAGTTTTATTCAATGTGTAGTGTTCGCGTAAATTTAAGAAATCATTACGTATTGATGCTTGTTGCGTTCTGCAGCATTGCGTCTCTGCGATGGTTGTTTGGTGGGACGCTATTCTCAATGGCGCTCTCTGCGTCTTGGATTGACTCAAACCTGAGTAGCTTTGCCCAAGTCGGGTCCCTTCATTACGGGGCTGCAGACTGTCTGCCCTCCACGATGTTTTATATAACAACATAATATTATATCTCTGTAACTTTCCCACCTTTGAATGATTGAAGACAACTTGTCGGTGGGTGAGACAAACATGTTCGAAAATGCATTTACTCGACGTCAGTGACACAAACCCTTTCTGATGGCGAATTATTACTCTTATCTTATAACTGCCTTTTGGCTATATTTGCCATTGTATTGGTTGGTTGAGCTTATGTGTCGACCTCATGCGGGTGGTAGCTGGCGGGAGGATCTGAGGAGACTCTCAAGGCTGCGGCCGAAAGCCGCACAACGTGGGGCCCCATTCCCTTGAGGTGAGCGGTAGACTCATGACACGCTCTGCGGCTAGTAGCCGTGCTGATCATGCAATTGGTGGTGATGCCATACACTTACATCACGTATGCAGGAGCGGCGGTCTGGCAGGTGGTGGCGCTCACGGAGGGTTTACGGCCAGTGTGCCTATTTGCCTAAACCGTGTGACGTACATTCACTGTGGCTCGATTCGTTCGTATTCTTTATGACGTTTACACGCATTGACATGCGCGACTTCGGTCCATGTTGACAAATCCAACACCTCCTTGGGACAGATGGTCGCCCTCCCGGTGATGGAACAAGTTGCCGGATTCGAGAATCACCGTGTCCTCCCTCTCTCTTCGGGCCTCGGGTAATCCTATAATATTCCAGCGCAACTTGTCTATCTCTTCTTCCAGCTCCAGGCTCTTCTCATCAGTTCTCAGGGTGCGTGCGTTATATGTTGCCGTGGGCCGCCGGGGACTGGAGGCCTTTTCTTCGTAACTATCATGGGGGGTATATTGCCATAGTTGTGATGCTTGGCGAGCGGGTTGGCAACTGCAGTTTTTTTGTACAGTTGCTGCTATCAGGAAGATGCTGCTGCCCATCTCCTGTCTGTTTCCCTCTGTCGCCTTTTACGACACCCACGGGAAGATATGGGGTAGTGGATAATCTTAATCGTCACTACACGGCAATACACAGTAGAGAGATATAACGTGTACATCTATTGACCCACCACACTTATTACATAGTTGGAAAATCCTGGACACCAGTGAATTGGCTCCCAGAACTATTTTGCGAAATGGACGAGAGGAAAAACGACGGAATAAATAGGGTGAACGGAGTAGAAGCCTATGGCACTGTTAAAAAAAATTTGAATTAAATAAATTAAAATCTATCAAAATTCTAATCATATCCACCCTAACCTGTGAAGTGACAAGGTCAAAGATACCTAGTAAATTTATTGTTTTATTGCCGTTCGTAAAGTAGTGGATATGATTTAAATTTCAATAGATTTTGATTAATTAAAAACTCATTTAATTCAAAATGTTTGTTTTTATTTTTTGTAAAATATCAGTGCCATAGGCTTCTACTCTGTTCACATGTCACTACACGCAAAATACGCGTTTTAGCAACAATTTGCAAACTAAACTAAATGTTTGGGTTCTTGGGTTGTAATAAATTTTCTGACTGTTTACATACTTGGTCTATGTGAAAGCTCCCCACAGCGGCTCCAAAAGAGTGTAAGCAACAGGACACCAACGCATAGTGCCACCAGCGCCGAGCGCATGTTTATGCGCACCAGCATCATAGTGCAGTCCTTCACAACACAACAATCACAATTTCATTTAATGAGGCATTTCTTTGCAAAATGGTAGGTAGGTTAATTTGCTAAAATCCGCAAGCAAAATGTGTTGGAACCACACAGCTATCTTATGGTTGCAGTACGAATGGACCGGCTTGACCTAAGGAGAACTACATTCTCACAGAATAACATCACAATGCTGCATGCTTCTTATAGTGAGTGTAAAGAACTGGTGACCCATGATAGGGCGCCTCATCTTAGTCCTCAGAATAGCATCAGGCATCTACACTATGACTTTTAATTGAGGACAGATGTAAATGTCTAAGGGCCAAAGCATCCGCCTACAAACACACACATCAGGTGGACTGTGTGCTTGTTCATAAGCCTTACACTATAAAAAAAGAAATAAAAATGCCGTATTTGCAGTTTGGAGAGCACCTCCCTCTTTTTTAAGTGTGTGCACTATTGAACACAGTATGAGACAAGTGGTAAAATTAAAAAGTTTGATGGCCAAGTTCAATATAAATAAAATGAGAACATCATCAATGTAGTTGAAGTATGTATTATTAAGAATATCTCAAAAACTACTGGTTAGATCTTAATCAAATTTATATTGGACCACATGAGAAGCACCAGCTTTCAAATAAGAAAAAGAATAATCACAATCAGTTCGACTAGAAATAACTTCTGAGCTAACAAACAAACAAAATTCAGCCAAATTGAGTACCTTCTCCTTTTTAAAGTCAATTAAAATATATAAAGCTCCCTAAGTAAACCAAATAAAAAGCCTTTTCGGAGCCTACACTTATGACTTTCTCCATGAGCAATAGAGCACCTATTGAAAATAATAACTAGCATGAAAATAATAACTACACTGTAGAGGTGATTCAAGAAAGTACCATTCAATTTTATATTCAGTGCATCAATTTTTTTGAAACTTGTTATTAAAAAAACAGCAACTGTAGTGATCTAAAGTAAAAGTAAAGTTACAGCCTATATACGTCCCACTGCTGGCCACATGCCTCCCCTCATTTCTGAGAGGGTTTTAGGGTAAGGAAGTGTCTGCTGTGCTGCCCCAAAGCGTGTTGGTGAACTTGGCATGTCTTTGAAATATATTTTTTTCTCTTATTCCTCAGACATGCAGTTTCCTCACGATGTTTTCCTTCACCGCCGAGCACGTGGTAAATCAGCACTTAAAATTGCAATTAACAATTTCATTGGTGCTGGCGGGGATGGAACCCGGGTTACTCACATTCTGTTATATTTACAGCAACCGTTAAACATCTGAGCTACCACGGCTCATTTGTACTGTAGTGATCTAAATAAGGAAAAATACTCATTAGTTACTTTCATCCAATATACACCATGCACAATTAGAATGACCTTCAAATTGCCACTGCCAATTGTAATTATGGCAAATTAAAGAGATGTCACTATAAAGACATAATACAAGTCAAAAATAATAACTTCTTCTTGGGTTCTGTAAAAATTAAAGCCTCTTTTACTGGTTCGCCAGTTATTTTGCTGTGGACTACGGTCCAGTTCCCGAATTAGCTTTCCCTTCGGGGGGAGTGCATCAAAATGGTTGGCGCTCACCGTGCACGGCGTGTGTGGGGCCGTGTACATCCCATACATTTTTCTTAAAATAAATGTAGGAGAGCGAAGCCCTTGTATCGGGTATTTTGTATAAATATATTTTGAGCCTTTTCCGAGCGGGAAGGGATAATTAATAATGTAAACCTGATACAAGCGGATTAGGGACGTTTTATGTTCTTAACCTTTTTCGAGCCCTGTCTTCGTGAACGGGGTTCACTTAACTTATAAGGCACTACCAACAGCTTTCAATTGCTCTAGTGAATATTCATTCTTCCAAAAGACACCTAAAAGAACTAAGTTACTAAACAAACACAAAGTAAATAAGGGTCCTAACTAA